TGTTAAGTCTTGTGTAGACTTTGTATAGAATCTGTCAAGTTATAGTCGTCATACTATAGTTGAACAGTTTCTGTTATCGCTGTGGTTAAAGAAAAAACTACAGGTTAACACTATATTTGGCCCAATAATATGACCAAGTATTAATTTTCTTTCTGGCCTGAATAACCGGTGAGCAGGTTTCTGTACGTAAATAAAGCTGATCTGGTAATTCACATAGACAAGAATATGTATATGCTTTCTGTATATGGTTAATGTTTTTAGAGTTTGAGTCTGAACTGGGATCTTCTAAATCTAGGGTAGTAGTATACTGAGTAGCGATAAATTTATTATAAGGATAAGATAAGTGTTGTTGTTTTTTCCAGTTAGCAAAGTTTGAGCAATATGGTTTCTATAACTGTTCTTACAGTTGTTCATTAATCTTAAGCAGTAGATTAATTATAATATTTGATACAATTTTGTAAGAAGTATTGTAGTTTTGCAATGTTTGGATTAGAGATAATGGAATAAGACCTTTAAGAGTGAGCTCTATATAGTATGAGTAGGTTTGAAGAGCTATATTACAGAATGCCTTATGTCTGTAAACTTTTTGGATTAGTTCTTCTAGTTCATTATTGGTTATGTCTAGTTCTGCTGAGTGTAGACAGTCTGTAATAGTAGATAAAATTATTTGGTTAAGTAGAGTAGGGTTGGTGCAAGTACACTAGTGTGATGGAGAGTCCTGGTAGCCACAGTAGAAGCAGTTATTATTAAAATAAATTTGGGATAAATTGAGTGGTTAAGTGAGTATGTAGGAAGTTCATTAAGCAGAGTTTTAATTTTAAAGAATTTGAGTTGATTAAGCTTAAAGTTTGTAAAATATGTTGTAACTTTTTGGTTGTAATTAAAATAGAGCCATGTAGATCTCCAGCCTATTTGTTTGTTAAGTGAGGACCATTCATTGTTGTATTTTTGAGATGACCACATTGCTAGAATATGGGCTTTACAGATTGTTTTGATAAATATCTGGTAGAATATTCAACTGGAAACTGATCTTCTTCCATTGCAAGATATGAAATGGGTTGTAGATGTTAGTGTGATTAAAGTATAATGATGTTTCAGATATGTGTTGTTTAGCTAATGAATCAGCTAATTTGTTAAAAGTATTGTCTATATGAGCTTGAACTTATAGAAAATAAGATGTAGATTAAAAGATTAAATTAGGTTAAGAAGTATATGCTACAAAGGCCATAAATTAAATTTTAAAAGCTTGTTAAGGCTAATAGTAATAGAATTGAGTTTAATAAATTTGAAGATAATAGATTAGGAGTCTGTATAGATATTAATAAGAGAATTACAGGGTGTAGTTGAAATAGCAAGATAAAATAGAAAAGAGTTTAGCTTTGTATAAAGTTGGCCAAAAGTAGATTTTGGTTGAGAATTCATGAGTTATTTGGTTGTTATCATCTATTTGGCCCCAACCTATACCCATAGAGTACTGGTTGGTACCAATATTGATAACTGATTCATCTGTATAAAAGTTAAAAGTATTTTGAATGGAGTTCGATAATGAAATTTCAATTAATTTGTCTGTTTTGTTACAAGGATAGAAGATTTCTGGTGTAGCTAAGTGAGAAATAGGGATATATAGTAGTATATAAGGTGAAGAGAGTAGAATTGAATATTTAATTGCTATAGAAAAAATAAGGTCCATATAGTTAGCATTAAATTTAAGAGAATTAGAAGAGGTTCTGCCAAAAAATTGTATAAATGTGATGGCTGAAATGTTGATTGTACAGGCTGAAGTTATTCTGTTAGAGTTGAGATGGCAACCAGAGCATGAGTTGCAGTTGATTGGTGGAAGTGAAAATACTTACTGTGCGATTAAAAATTTAGGTTTGGATGTTAGAGTCGGAGGAAAATAATCACTTTCTATTTGTAAAATTTTATTTCAGTCTTCTTCCTGTTTTTTTCGCTCTGCTCACATGTGGTATTTCACATTTTCCGATTTGTTAATTTCCCTTTTTTGGGTTTGAATCACTTGTATAAATAATGATGCAACATAACGATAACGGAAGTTCGATTTTATTGATTGTATTTCTATTGAAAGAACAACATTACAATTAGGGTTGTTATTCGATCCGGTCCGGACCGACGTCCTTCGGTCCATCCAGGGATCGGGTCCGGTCCTTTTTAGGATGGATCGAAAGGATCGTTGGTCCTAATAGTAAATATCAAATAAACCATATATTATCTTGATAATACGCATTTTAAAACAACTATAAAATGCTGTTTTTAGTTAAAATTCTATAAAGAGGTTGTCATTGTGAATTACAAACCCTTAGCTTGTTAAAAAAGATTAAACCACGTATAATATATAATGAGAACGGGCTGCTGCTAACGTTAATAAATAGAGGAATTTATTAATGACAGCAATGGAGTGATCAGTTGATTTACAATTTGCACTATATTTGTGCGAAATTAATTTAGCTGAGGATTTTTAATGATAAAAAATTATGATTTGCATTCGGCTAAATTAACTATTAGCTTGCCTCAAACTCGTGTCCCGAAATAACTCCTATAGGCAAATACAGTATATTGTTCAACTCCAAATTAAGTGTAATCTGCTCGATTCGCATGTATAATTATTGTCAAATTATAGATTACAGTATCAGTTTTTTCAATATCGATACACACTGATAAGAATTTATGTATAGTGTGGATCATCTGGATTTGAACAAATCATATACTAGACGATATTCCAAAGATTACAACGCAAATTTGCATTTTTAAATTTTAATTCATGCTTTAACAAACAGGCCTCTTAAATTCTCACGGATGTATATCTATATGAAATTTACTACTCAATACGTTCAATGTAATTATTTCGCTGATTTGTCACTTTCTATATTTATATTTACATTAAGCTTATTACGAATCTATCTATCTATCTATTATATATTAAGGAATATCGGAAAGATAAAACATAGGAGATAAACACGCAATCTGATTGCTCAGCTATGTTACACATATGCCCAATGATCGTCACTTAAAGTAAATCAGATGACACATATAATTGATGATCGCTACTTAATTTATTCATGTAACACAGATATAAGTATATCCTATACCGTATACATGGGTGCCTAAATTATTTTTGAAAAATCGTATTTTCGGCAAACATTTCGGCATTGCTAAATTTTTTATAT